GTGAAAACTGCTTCTGCACCAAACTTTGGTCAGTGCAGTTCAGGAAAAGTACATATAATTTCAAAGCAGCTTTACAGAAAATGCATATTTCTACATTACAATTAAGAGTTATCAGATGTGACTGTGTCAAAATAATGTCCATATGGCAGAAATGTACAGTTCTAACCTGATACAAATCATACAAATAGATAACGTCATGTAGGCCTGTTTACTTAAGCAGAAACAATGAACACATTAAAGCTATGATTACATGTCATGATTACAATATAAGGAAAATTTGGTAGCTTTGTATTTTGATTCAGAGTTGGTGTCATCTGAAGTCCTCGCAGAGTTGACTTCATTTATAAGTAGTGAATGAAGAATGGTGGGACTTGAGTTGTCATGAGTCAACAGCTCAATTATGTCTTGAGCATGTTCACGGTCCACATCCTCTTCGGATGTTGGAACATTTCCTACATAAAGTTAAAATACACTACATGACATTAGCCCAATTTACAATCTGAACTAGACGATGCTGGCTGCTGAAAGTCAGAGCCAGTCTGCAGATCTGAGTTGACAGATTACATAGAAAATCGTATGATGGCCACAGACTCTGGTTTTTTAACTTCAGACTATGATTCCATCCAATCATTGGATTTCAAACATGTTTGATATTTTGAGCCAATTTTAGAAGACATGATGTTTTCATTTGTCAGGCATCTCTTAGCAACAAGGCCCATGTGTCTGCATGAGTTTGTTGTGTTCGGAATTACTTGAAAGTCTGGTAGTGTGTGATCCTCAGCTATTTAGTGTATGATGCCCAGTTTTTCCTCTGTAACTTTTTTCAAAGTCGGCAAGTGTATGACACCTATTGTTTTACAATCTGTTCAGAAGTCGTTTTGTGTATGTTTATCCTTTAGTGAAATGTCATGCGCTGGATGGATGCACTGTGTCAGTGTTGTGCGTTGGTCCAGTGAGCCAGCAGAGGGCAGTAGTGTGAGCTGAGGCAGAGCTCACTGTCCTGCCTCCATCCCGGTGTGCCTCTGAAGCTGCTACCTCAGAGCGTTGTGGGCCAGGTGCCCTCACACTGACTAAAATCTTGTGAGGACACATTTTCTTTTTCACTCTCCAATAAATCACCATTAATATTGAGTTTCTGTGGGCTGACTCACTTTCTTCATCTAAATTTAGAAGACAGAGGCAGCCATCTAAATCCAGTTAGAGGACAGAAAATGCCATCCTTTGAGAAAGAACTATTAATTTTGGCTTTTGTGTTATAAATAAGTCTGTCTGAAGAACCTGGTGGAAGTTTTATCTTGTTTTAGAAGTTTAGTGTTCTGACAGGTCTCCTGTGCGGGTCGGATTCGTGTCTAGGATTCATGTCTTGCCCTCTAAGATCAGCAGGTCACATGCAATAACAAAGTGTGCTTTCCAAAAATAGCCAACTCTCCTGAGTTTTATTAATTTTGGTTCATCTGATGAAACCCAATTGAAAGATACGTGCACGATGGTCTTCAAAACATGTTTTTTACACATTTGAACAGCATAAGTCACTTTATTGTTTGTTTGTGCACTGCATTTCAGGCTTGAGGTTTGCTCATGCAATACTACAGGCGGGGCTATAGGTGACATCATTGTCTCTTTTACCCACAAACCTCACCATTGACTGAACTGCTATTTGATCTCCTGGCAAGAGCTCCATTAGTGAGCTAAAAGAAGCTAGCACTGCACATGAACTAATTATGTATTGGTTGGAGATCCATACAAGGATAAGTGCAGCAAATGATGAGTCCAGGTACAACTCAGTCATTGATAGATTTGCCACCCTGAAACTAGACAGAAAAATTGTATTAACAATGACATCATAAATCAGAGTAGATGTCAAAAGCTATTAATCTGAAACGTCAATAAGGACTCTTCAGTAATTGCGTTAAAGTCAGTATGAAATGCAACTAATTGTACTTCCTAATATGCTGTATTTGCTAGTGAAATAGTAGTTTGTAAATACCCATCAAACAAAAATATGATGGGAGGAAAAAATATATTTAAATGCTTTTACATTCTTTTGCAAATATTTTGTGTTTGTGCTTCAGAAACTTTTGAGAACTAAAGTTTCTCAGGTTTCGTGAGTGAACGCAAAATTTCTTGAGGGAAAGCAAAACTTTTGCAAGAAATAACTTCTGCGAAAAGCATTTAAATATATCCCCCCGGCCCACCTTATATTTTTTTCTATCACCATGTGTCTTTAAGGGCTCCTTACATACCAGAATGGAGCCGGTTGTGTTGTTAGCTGAATGTCGTTTTAGAGATGAAGGATGTAGTAGTTACATTTTGACGAAAGATTGCAAAGACAAACATTTTTCTTTTCAAAGAAATTGCATTGATGAATTGTGTGCAATAGGACAGGAACATGCATTGAAGTGATAGTTCACCCAACAATGAAAATTCTGTCATCAGTAACTCTTCCTCATGTCATTCCAAACCTGTATGACTTTGGTTAATCTTTGAAACAAAAATTAAGCTTTTTAATGAACCAAAACTTGCAAGATCCAAAAAGGTCATAAATAAATCCATATGAATCAAGCGGTTTAATTTAAGTCTTGTGAATAGATAATTATTTATATGATGAACAGATTTAATTTAGGCTTTTATTTACATTTGAACAATGATCAACAGACATATATAGAGCACATCACATATGGTAAACATGGAAGCTGAATAAAGCAATCGTATCTCCTCACGAGACATGGATTCAACCTCTCAATTCATATAGGCTAGATTAATTTTGCAACACCTCTATGATATTTTTTTGATCTTCCAAGTTGTGATTACCTGGACTTTGAATAGAGGGACAAAAACCTCTTAGGTTTCTCTAAAAATATCTTAATTGATGTTATGAAGATTAACCAAAGTTTTTTGTGTTGGAATGACATGAAGAACAGTACTGATGTTTTACCTTCAAGGAAGTAAATAAAGTCTGTTTTGATTTGACATTGACTTTAAATGGAAATGTGTTGTATTAACTGCTGTTTTACTCTAAATTCATAATTCTCCTGAGATTTCATCTTGGACAGCTACGTCAGTGGTTACGTGAAAGTAAAGGACCTTGAAGAGAATGTCCCATATTGCCTTTCATTTTGGACTGGAGAAGAGATGTGGGGTTTGAGCAACAAGAAGACCTGAATCATAAGATCAATATTCTTTTGTCTATTTCTGCAGTGAATACAAAACTATTGGTTATCTTGTGGGCAGCGAGGTGAAATGTATTGCTGTAAGGAAAAGCGAGCAGTACCTCATGGTGACGGTGAAAAAATGAGATGATGTAAACTGACAGTAATTTATAAAGCAATCAATATGTGCCTTCAGGATAGAGTAGCACAACAGCCTCTGGTACATCATTTAATCCATTAATCCAGAAGTCTATTGTTTTGGAGTTGCTGAAGTCGATAAACAAAATAATGCCACAAATGAAATTTGATCGACAAGAGAAAGGTTAATCAGCGTTGTGTTATAGACTCAAATAAATTGTTCATGCAACCAAAAACCACTGTTGAATTGGGCTTGCTATGTATTCTCATACCTTAGTAAAATAGGGCAGTGCTGCACAATGATATTATTCTCAGTTTCATTAATTCACAATGTTCCTTTAATCTCTGTCAGTCCCCAGAGTCTGAATTTATTTGTGGACTGTATATTTATTTATTTATAGACTCCTGTCCAGCATCACAGAGATATAGTTTTTGTTAATATTTTGAATTATATTTTATATTTTATAATTTATTATTATATTTTCTGTTTTCGCTTAAATTTTAGTTAAAGATTTAGTCATTTTGTTGGGTTTTTGTTATTTTTATTAGATTTTATTTAGACTAAATATGTCTATATAGTTTTTATTATTTCTTATTTATTAGTGTTAGTTTATATGCCGTGATACATGTCCATCATTTTTAAATGGTTAATTAATTAATTTATTTATGTATTTATGTATTTTTATTTAATAGTGTAGCTGGATACAAAATGGTTGAAATTGAAACTAATTACAGGCAATACATTATAATATATATTATATATTTAATTATATCATTCTTCACATCATTAATGTACATTCAAATAGCTATTTATATTAAACTTTGAGTTTATATTTGAATGTATCTAAGATGATGTGTTATACTTCACTATATTGTATAGGTCATGCAGTACCATTTGAGCTAAAAAATAAAATATAAAAATATAAATTAAATGCAAAATGATAATATACTCTTGTCAAGCTCGGGCCTTTAAAATGTATTCATTTATTTGTAATATTAAATTATGAATTTCTAAAAATATGAAATAACTTTAATAATGCGATTAATATGGCTGGATTGACAATGACATGAAAATTAAGAAGATGGAAAGTAATATTCAAACAACATTCCTAAATAAATAGAAAGAAACATTTATATTAGAGAAAATGAAGAAACATGGCATTTTTCATTTTAGAAGTGTGCATGGCAAAAACTTAAAAACTTCCATACTTAAAAAATTTAAAGTTTAATATTTTATCCACTACATTAAAACATGCATAATGGGGACATGAAAGCATACAGCGTAGTAGCTAAGCAATGCCCCGTTTATTTTCTGTTAATCATATTTATGAAACTTATTATAACATGTTATTGAGACATATGATGACCTCACTAAATTAGAGCGATCCTGTCTATGAATGTCAGTTCATCCGAAATGAATTCTATCGTCCGTTACAAAACGTGCCACACTTGAGTCTCGTCAGACTTTGATGGGTTCTTACAGGAGCTGTTGCTTGGCAATACCAGCAGCATCGGTGTCTCTAGAGAGCGCGCGAGAATAGAAGCACGGGATGCGCGCACGCCCAACACACACGAGCGAAGCGCGACCGTTCACATCTCACCAAACATCGCTGCCAGTAGCTTTAAAGTTACACTCCGACCGCAGATAGGCATTTTATTGCGGGCTATGTTTGTTTTACGTGCCATGCTTCAGTTACTAACTCGGTACTGAAATTTAAACCGTTGAATTCAGCCAGCCCAAACGAAGTGGAGCGCCTACAGCGGCACATTTGAGCCTTATGAAGATTGTTGAGGTAAGTGTTGCGTGTGCTAACGGTTTTTTCGTGCTTATTCAGTTTCGTGCTACAGGAAAGAGTAGAAATAGATCCTCCAGGCGAGAAATTTGAGCTTCAAAGAGGTCAGAAAGTACAAATGTCCGAGTCTGGACTGCGGTGCTGAGGAGAAGCGAGTGAGGAGTAAGTGGAAACGCTGTCAGTATCGGGAGTTTGGTTGGCAGTTACTTCTAATCTACTGTTTAACTGTAGGGCAGTAATGTTGTTTCATTCGATGTGTTGTTCAAGTGGAAATGATGAATGTCACGTTAATTAGTTAAACAAGTCGGGTTTTCTAAGCATCTGTTGGACTGAAGTCTGACTCAGCCTGTTCTTCTAACCGTTAGACTGAGTGTCAGCAAGTCGGTGTTTTAAAATGATGCTTGTGTATTTATTTTCAATTGGTTTAAAGGGATGGTTTGCCTAAATATTGAAATTCTGTCACTGTTAAAACTGTACATGTCTTCCATCTGCATAAGAACTCAAAAAAAAAAAAAAAGCATCAGTCATTCACCATCTTTTACCCCATAAAGTGAAAGTGAATGGTGACTGCAAAGAAAATCGTTGAGAATGACAGTTGTCATTTTTGGGTGTACTGTCCCTTTAAGAGAATTTATTTCTTGTACCAGCATGCATTTAAATTCACTTTTGAACTTTTTTTTTTTTTTTTTTTAAAGAGCTTCAATTTTTTATTGCCCATCAGAGTTGGAAACAAGCGCCATGTGTGCTGTTCTGTCTGTCCAACAGATGCCACATCCATCACTGTGATGTTCATGATATAACTCACACCTTTTCAGAGGTGTGCTTCACTGTCTCATACAGATGGCTTTTGAGGCAGAAAGAGACATTCTCCTTTTTCATTCCATGTAGAACTCTCTTTGAAAGGGAAGATTTAAGAGATCTTCACTCTGATTCCTTTGAATTATTTCTCTGCAAGCTATAAATAGGATGGTGACATGCCCCCACCAGCTTCTTGTTAAGAAATAGATGTGCTCAGAGGACAAGACCGTCTAGCACATGTTCTGTGTGTTTTTCCAAATGATAATGATAAACAGAGTGGTTGATATCAAAACAAATATTTGACCAGTCTCTTTGTATCTTGTCCATGTGCACTAGATCATCTTGAAAACCTTTCAAAAAATCATTTTATGAAATTAAATTACTGCAGTTTTTTAAGTTTAGATTTTATTTACCTTTTCTTTTAAGATAAAAAATTTAAAGTGAATGGGGCAATTTCTCGAGGATATAAAAGCAGAAATGTGAAGCTTATACAGTGTAAAAAATATTTTTTGTAAATAAAACAAAGTTTGAGTACGTTTTACAAGAAAATTCTATTTCAATATTTCTAATAAAAAAAATTCATGTTTAATTAAATCTGTTACTTGTTATTTCTTTATATTTGTGAAATGTACTAGCAATTTCTTGGGAATAATGGTTGAAAAGTAAATACTACACTGATTTGTTTTCCATTGTAGTTTTATAAAACATTTAAATTATCTCTTCTGTTAAAAACTTATGTAGTGTTTGAGCTGTAAATTTGTTCCAATCAGGTATTCTTATAGTCGTTATAGGGCAACAACGTTACATTGTCATGGCAATAAAGTTGTAAAATTGGATATGATTTTACACAAGGTTAGTAGCTGTTTTTCACACTAAAATCATGTTAGCACATATTTTATGTTAAGTCTAGTGTCTATACTATTGAAATGGTGAGTATTTTAACATACACCATGGCTCCATTCACTTAAATTGCTGTCGATTAAGTTTAACTTGTACTGAACCCAAAATATGGCACATCTACCAAATATGTCTCTTTTAACAATTTAAAAATAAATTTAAGTTTAATCTTTAATCTGGTTCATCAAATATTCACCCAGCGAGTGAATTATGAATGTCAGAGATCTTCTTTTCCCCCACAAGGGAATTGATTTGATTGGCTGCCCAACATTTGGTCATTATCGGATCACTTTGTGTAGTAGCAGTTTCTTCTGTATTTCACCCTGGTCTGTACAGAGGGTTATTTTTACTTTCACTGCCATAGAAATTGCCTATATTATAGCCTACTGAATTCTGTGGAAATAATACTTGTGGGACAACTCATGCATTTTTTAGTATTATACTAATGGATGTTTGCTGTTTGTGGAGGCCACAGAGAGTCTTAACATTTTAAAACAACCACTTAAGAATTTGGTTTCTGTTTTGGCTGTATGGCTGCGTTTAAGATGACATGATTTTAGTTGTTCTCCATCATGCATTGTAAATATGTTTGTGATGCATGCGTTTTGAATTGGCACTCTCTTTTGCTGCTTAGTTTTTTACGTGTAGAGTAGACCATTGCTTGAAGTGGGCCGGTACGCACCAGTATGCAGTACTGGCTAGGGCTGGGCGGTATATCGAGTTTGTACGATATATCGATATTTTCTTTATAAGCGATTAGATATGAGGCAATACCATTTATATCGATATACAGTATTTTGATACGAGCTCATCTGAAAATATAGCGGAGGACACAGATTGAGCTGCTGCAGAGAAAGTGCATAATCCAGTTTGTTCTAAACATGTGACAAGCTTCATATTAAGGCCTTTAAAAACTGGTAAGACAGTTTATAGTTTAGTTTTGCATATTAGTTTAAGCGGTTCGGCCCATCATATGCTCTGACAGAAAGGCTACATGTGCCGCTGACAGAGACACAGGCTAGCTGTTTAATGTGTTTGAGATGTGCTGTCTTCCTGAATGCATAACTTACATCTCACAGGTATATTCTCCATCTGTAAGTGTTAGAAAGCCATGGAAATATTTCAATTTTTCTGTCAGAAGTGCATGAGCCTTCTGCTTTGGGATTCTCCGCTAAACTTCACAGATTTCAGTGAACGAGTGCCGCCGCGCGCATGCGCGTCAAACAGACAGAGCTCAATTAAATAGGAGCGCAATAATTCTGACTAAAATACAAATTTTGCTAGAATATTTGTAGTTTGACAATAAATGTGACATGTAGAATTTAAAACCTACAAGTAAGTCTATTTTTATGATAGCACTGACTGTAGTGACTGAAATGGGGTAATCAAAATCGCCTAACACAACTCTGTGCTTTTGTTCTAATTTATTTTCATTTTTAGTTTAGTGAATTTAACTTCAGCTTTAAAAGCCTTCATTTTTGTTTTTAGATTATAATGTTACAATGTTAGAATGAAATGTGATTTTAACCCTTTTTTGCACATAATATAAAGGCTTACATGGTTACATTCACTTTATTTGTTTTCATAGCCTTTAATATGTATTATTTTGTTGGACAACATTGGGCGGTAAGTGAAATATATATATTAAATACAAAAACGAAAATACCGAGATATATACCGTATATCGCAAATCGGCCAAAAAATACAGAGATATGAATTTTTGCCCATATCGCCCAGCCCTAGTACCGGCACTTCAATATTTTAGTCTTTAGCGTACTGGCACTTTTTCGTGCGTACCGGCACTTCTGACATGTCAAAGCGTCAGTGTCTGGGTGTTTTATAATGAATGCCAGCTGAAGGTGTTTTAGATTATGCGCTGGTCAGTGGTTTAGTTATTCTGAATGCATGCGTATAGTAGCATATACAGTCAGGTTAAGGCAGCAGGTTTTGGGAATACATTGGGAGGCCTACATACATTGGGAATTATGAACATTTATTTATTTATGTATTTATTTTGGGGTTGGGGTGGGAGTACTGTCACTTCTTTTTTTCCACTTCAATATCACATCCTTAATAAAATGTTTTAATGAAACTATGAATCTTTAACAGTCATTTTTCCATTTGAATCAATTTAAGCATGGCATCTAATTCGACTAAGATGCAACCTGCTGAGTATATATTCCATAACATCCTAAGAGACTCACTGCCATTGTAACCGGCCCCATGCGAGTCTCCAGATGCTACTGTCTGCCACTGCTCTCACCCAGGTCCTTTTATCCTTCTACTAGAGGTCGACCGATGTATCGGTTTTGCCGATTAATCGGCACCGATAGTTTTTTGCTGGAACTATCAGTTATCGGCAAAAATCTATGCCGATAGTTTTCCGGGTTGCGTCCGTTGCTGCAGTGTTCAAGAATATAAGAAGTTAAAGTGTGAGAGTATACATACAATATCCATATGTATAAATTTTAATGCTATGGCCTTTGTGTATATATTTAAAGATGTGCATATTTGACTGTTGAAATGAAATGGTAACACTTTAAAATAAGAGTCCATTTGTAACATTAAGATTAATGAAAGCTGTGTAATGAAAGTATTGTTCCTTGTTAGAGTGTGTTAATTTCAACATTTTTATTATTATTATTACTACTACTACTACTACTACTACTACTAGTATGGTTCAGTACTGTTTTTTTAATAAAGCATTATTTTAGTTTTTGTTCAGTATCCATTTGAAAAACTATCGGTTAATTAATCGGTATCGGCCAGTGTGGTCCAACCTAGCTATCGGTATCGGCAAAATCCACTATCAGTCGACCTCTACCTTCTACTACCCATTAACCTTACCATGATTTTTTTCAAGCAGGACATCTTCATATTATTGTTGGTCCTAAACAATATGATGGTTTTAGACATCATATCCTTTTAAATATAAGGGTGGTTAAAGAAATATTTCACCCAAAAATTAAACTCTGCTGAGAATTTACTCACTCTCAGGCCATCCAAGATGTAGATGAGTTTGTTTCTTCATGGGAACAGATTTGGAGAAATTTAGCATTACTTTACTTGCTTACCACTGGATCCTCTACAGTGAATGGGTGCCATTAAATGAGAGTACAAACAGCTGATAAAAACATCACAATAATTCACAAAACTCCAGTCCATAATATAGCCTTGTGAAGTGAAAAGCTGCATGACTGTAAGACACAAATGCATTATTAAAACTTTTTAACTTCAAAATGTCGCTTCTGTCTAAAATATGAGTCCATAATCCATTATAATGCTTCCTCCAATGAAAAAGACCA